GCCATATCACATGATCTTCCTGAGCAGATAGTTTCCCCAGTTGGCAGCTGTTTTAAAATGGAATTTTTTTCTGAGCATTTCATCAGAAGTGGAGACTGAAAGTTTGTACTCAATCTTGCAAATAGTAGTGGACAAAACAATGTCATCACAAGGTTGAACAAGAAGCCCTTAAATACTCTGACAGCTAAGAAAACGCTATCCACTGAGAAAGATATGGTACAGTTAAAGCTAGAACAGATAATAGATAATAGACCTTAGGGAGATGATAATGTGTCAGCTGCCATTTCAAAACTCACATAGTTTCTATCTAAGTTTAGGACTTATTTACATGCCAGGTTTTAACTTATCTTTCCTAACATTTTTTTTGATCCGTAAATCACCAAATCAATGCTTACTACTGTTGTGTTATTAAAAAAGGGTGATGGTAGATTAGTGAACTTATACAGTCGTGGCTCACTAGTTTATGTTGCTGCTGTGTGTCGCAGACAGGTCGTGTGGATAAGAACTACCCTTTGGTGATTGGCCACGCTGGACCTGTCCTCGATATTGACTGGTGCCCTCATGACGACAACATCCTGGCCAGCTGCTCAGAAGACTGTACTACAATGGTAATGACACAGTGTATGTGTGTGTGTAGAAAGTAAATGCATGTGGAGGAGTTTGGTGACTCAGATAACAGTCATAGAGGTCGAGGCAGCCTGATTTTGTCACACCCGCCTGCCTGCTAAAGGAACAATAAATGAGCTGAATCAGTTGAGGCGACACTGTGTCTACCTGCCTGACTGGCCACCCACCTGTTCCACCTCCTTTCTGTCTCATTGGTCATATTGTCATATTTTATCCTTGAGAGGTTGCAGCAACCAACTAATTATTGTAACACAGCTGCTAATCAACCTGTCCCTGAGTGTTTACACACTGTATGTGGCAAAAGTCAAGCAGTAATAATTTGTCAGCATAATAAAATTGTCAATTGTAATTTGGACAGGTCTCATAGCAAAGTTTGAATTTTAATATGATGGGAAAAACAACAGAACAGAAGTGAGTATTTAAAATTGATGCAAACCTTTTAGAACAGGGGGGTGTATTGTGAACACGCTATATAAATGGGATGGGCATAATAATAGTAGTAATGATGATAATCTTATGTTCCATTTACTATAATCAGTATACACCAGGAAATCTCAAACATTTTCAGCTTAATAGATGTAAAATATTTGGTTACTTCTTTTCAAAAACAAAATGTGCATGTTTTGTGTCTTAGTATACACACATGGAGTGTGTTAGCGTGTGTCTGTTCTAACAGTTTTTGGTTGCGTTATGACAACATGCCCAACTCAACCTGTATCTGTGCACGAGCACAGTTGTCACTGATGGCAGATTTGCTCACAATTGCTCACAGCAACATTGCAGGAAGTTTTGTGTGATGGAATGCTGAAATTGCTGCTTCTCTTATGGCAGCAGCTGCTGGAACGCTGCTTCAGTGCTTTGTGTTTGACTTTGTGTGTGTGAAGGGGCATTTGTATGCTTTGTTTATCTCCAGCACATAGACAGACAGTTGCAGCTGTCCACTTTTGGCAGTGCTGCCGCTGTAGGGCTGTAGAAAGGCCATAACTGTGATGTCATTCTCCTCAGCACACAGAGACGGATCACTGTGTCATCTAAAAAGGCTCATTAGAGTGTGTTTGTGTGTGTGAGTGCAGAGCAACAGGGCCAGAGCTGTGCGTATCTTCTTTAACATATGCAGATCAGCTAATCACCTACTGTGTGGTGCAACTGAAATGTTCCCATTTAAAGAAACTGCTGGAAAAAACAAACAAACAAAAAACTTAGTGTGATAATCTGTAATGTGTTTTTCTGGGTCACTTTGGTTGTTTGTGTTGTTGCTGCGCCATCCCAGAGGGTTTCACCGTGCAGAAGTGAGCACCTGTTCTTGTCATGTCAGCACGCTTTTAAAATATAGTTTTGTTTGAAAGTACTGTGACCAGTTAGAACTGTGGTCTTTGTCCTAGCTGCCACTGAGAACTCTGTAACCAGGTCCTCAGTGCTGTTTCTGGGACTATGGAAGATGAAACAACCAGAGGAGCAGTGCACAGTTAAACAGAAACTAACACGTGGTCTCTGTTTTTGGGGTGATTTGTGCATCTCTTAGAGCTGGTATTTTAAAATCAGACCTTTGCTGCAGTAAAATAATAGTATGTTTTCCACCAGAAAAATATTCCTTGCAATTTGGGGAAGCTTTGAAACAACAGTTTACAGAAAAGCACTTAGCGTTTTGAAATGTTTTAGGAGCTGGATTGTGCAATGTTTCTGGCTCACTCAGTGAATGTTGGGACATGCCTTAGAAAACTAGTTTACCCCATGAATAGATTGATGGATACAAATCTGTTTAGATAGTTAAAGTGCTAACATGTCATTGTAGTTTTGGTATACATGTACAGTGATGAATTAGTGCTGATCACAGTTTTAGCAGCAAAGGCCTTCTCTGTTCCATTAGGTGGATATCAAGCAGTCGACTGGAGTCACACACAGATGTGGACATTAGTTGGATGAGCTTCTCTATGAAGCTATCACACTATCACATTTAGCTGAGTTATCTCACTGTTAACAACACAAGCATATGGTAGTGATGTTGGTCTTTAAACATGTTATCCTTTCTTCTGTCAGAGGTTTGATATTGAAATCTCTCCCCTGAGGTGTAAGCAAAAGTTAAACAAACCTCTTCATGTGATCATTTACACTTCACACATGAAATTTGTTGTACTGTGTAAAATCAGGACAAGTAATCATATTTATAATTTGCCTTTTAGTCTCAAGCACAGTTTGAAAAACAGAAAATAAAATTACTGTAGCAGTTGTGACCAGCAGGATTAAATGGGTCCAGCAAGGTATTTTAGTATCTTTTTGCACAACTAATTGCATTCCTTACCATGCAGAGCACTGGCTATGCTACGAATTCATTCCTTCATCCCTCCTCTCCAGGTGTGGCAGATCCCAGATCACATATTGATCCGCCCCATCTCTGACCCCATCGTGGTCCTGGAGGGGCACTCCAAACGTGTTGGCATTGTCAGCTGGCACCCCACCGCACGCAACATACTACTCACTGCGGGTAGGACATATAAACACATATATACCCACTACACATGCTCTGATGTCTCCTAGTTCTCTTGAAATCCTTGTGATCTCCTTTTCTGGAGATTATGTAACAGTGATATGTGACTAAGTACAACACAGACATCACCAGAACTTTGTTCACCCAAGATTTTCATTCAGGTGTCCATCCTGCTTTTCTAACCCTATCCCCTCTCAGGCAGTGATAACTTGATAATCATCTGGAACGTGGGGACTGGCGAGCCCCTCACCTCCATGGATGACCACCCAGACCTCATCTACAGCATCAGTTGGAACCGAAACGGCAGCTTGTTTTGCACCACCTGCAAAGACCGACGCCTGCGTGTCTGTGACCCCCGCAAGAGGGAGGTGGTTGCGGTGAGTGAGTAGAAAATATACATAAATAGTACAATTCAGTATCATCACACCACAGCACCACTGTCTGGGCTCTTAAACCCAGTAATATATGTGCTTCTGCCCATCAACAGGAACGACTGGCTCCACATGAGGGGATCCGGCCAATGAGGGCCATCTTCACCAGAGATGGAAACATCTTCACCACAGGATTCACCAGGATGAGTCAGAGAGAGCTCGGACTCTGGGACCCGGTAACAAACATTTCACTTACTCTTCCTAGATATCTGAAATACGTGGACACTTATTTAAATGTACACAACAAAACTATCTTCATTGCTTTTACTCTCCACAGACAAATTTCGAGGAGCCTATTTCACTGTTGGAGTTGGACACAAGTAATGGAGTTTTGTTACCATATTATGATGCTGATGCAAACATGGTCTACCTCTGTGGAAAGGTACAGAGACTGTCACACGCAAATGTATGATATGTTCAGAAATGAGTGCAGCTCCGTTGTATTTCCAGCCTTAATAATGACCATGCCACCTACGTTTCTCGTGTTTTCTTTTTGTAGGGTGACAGCAGTATTCGTTACTTTGAGATCACAGATGAGCCGCCGTACGTTCACTACCTCAGCACCTACAGCAGTAAGGAGCCCCAGAGAGGGATGGGCTTCATGCCCAAGAGAGGTGTGGACGTCAGCAAGTGTGAGATTGCCAGGTGATACACTAAGCATGCGATAAAATAAAGTCTGTAAAGACTACTGAGCCTTTATGGGATGATGTTAAGTGTATAGTGACAAATTAACTGAGATGAAGATTTTCCATTTTGGAGAGACTGTCTTACAGTTTCATATAATTCAAGACTTGTAGTCTGTTGCCTAACTACAGGCCTGAGGGCAAACACTGTTTCGCTCTTGTTTTAGTCACAAATGTCCAACTAACGAATTATCAGTAAATGTTGTGCATCAAAAGCATGACCTCTGGGTGTCTTCTCTCGCTCCCCCCACTCTCTCAGGTTATACAAGCTCCATGACAAGAAGTGTGAGCCCATCACAATGACAGTACCCAGAAAAGTAAGTCCCACTGATCTGACCCTAAGCCCTTTTGACTTTCACATCTGTGGAACACAACATTCACTCTAGTACTGTACTTCAGTGCAATTTTATCTTACTGCAGTGTTTCCCCTACCACTATATGGGGGGGCGCTCCACCCCCCTTGAAGGTCATGTTAATTTTATTTAATTTTATTTTCTATATAGTGCCAGATCACAATTCAGATTAGCTGCACTTTGACCAAAAAGAGAATCTTGATTAAACCTGCAAAAGCAACCACTGTTCACACGTCTATTTCTCTCTTGCACAGTCAGACCTCTTCCAGGATGACCTGTACCCAGACACAGCAGGGCCCGAGCCTGCCATGGAGCCTGAAGAGTGGCTGGGGGGCCGCGACGAGGATCCAATTCTGGTATCCATGAGACAGGGCTATGTCCCACCTAAGAGCCGAGAGCTCAAAGTGGCAAAGAAGAACGTGCTGGACTCCAGAGCCACCACCCGGCGCAGCATGTCCACGCTGGAAACCAACAGCCTGCCGGTGAGTTCTTCAGCTTTCCTGTTGTTTATGTGCTCACATAATGTAAGGTGGCAAGAAAAGGTAAACCATATCTTCACAAGTATAGGCAAACATAATGTGCTTAAGCTAATACCACAAACATTTTTTTAATGTTCTCAGTGAACCTACCCATTAAACATTCAAAGTGCTGGTATAAAAAGTAAGTGAACAGTAAATGACATGAAAAGCAAGATTTAATAACTGGATGAGCTTCAGCTGGTGGACAGCCACCCTGACATTATTCTGTAGGATTCCTTGATAATTTGGGAATTTATTTTCCCCTCCATGATGGCAGCTCAGTAGAAGTTAGGTGATGCGGCAGGACAGTGAGACTAAACACTGAATTAAATCTCTGACAGAATGGCTTCAAAACAAGGCACTCTGCCATTTGGAGTGCCCCAGTGAGAGCCTAGACCTCGGCCCAAAAGGGCTGCTGTGGAATGAGCTCAGAGAGCCGTTCACACCAGACTTGACTTAGCCGAAGATCACATTTTATGACCACATTGGTAGAAAACCTAGAGACTGCAAATGGTTCACTTCCATTTTATCACTGCTGTGTATCTTGAGTGTGACCCACTACTTGGTATACTAGAGTAGACATTACTCTATTCTAATCTGCTTTCACATTTCAGGCTGCATTTTCTGTGTTGATGTTTTAGACTTTGTCACTGAAAAAAAAAATATTGTAGCTTAGCGGCCTGTAATCTGAAAGCAATCTTTCTCCTAAGAACATCAGTCTCTTTTTAACCCTTTTCTATTTCTCTCGTCTGTTTGTACCTGCTCACAACTTTGTTTCCCCAAAGCTCACTTCTTTTGTGTTTTGTAGTCACTCTCTTTGACCTATTTTTCCTCTGTCTTTTTCTCTTCTTCCTGTTTCACCTCTCTCTCCCCTCCCCTCCTGTCCAGCCTCAGTTGCTTGAGAGGTTGTTGGAGGAGATTCAGAATCTGAAGGCCACAGTTTTGTCTCAAGAGAAGAGAATCTGTGACTTGGAGAATAAGCTTTCCCAGTACAGCAATGGCACTGCCTGATGTGCATGTAAATTACACCTTCTGAAGAACTGTTCTGAATTTTATAGGAACCTCTTCCCTAAAGACTGTGTTGCCCCTTTAAAGGTACCATTTTGTGCATGAATGTGGACAATGCAAATTGACGGTCCAACAAATTTGAACAAATGACATCCATATTTAGCGTAATTGTTTTGTGGTTGATTCTACATTATCCACATTCCGGTTTTAACATAATGTACCTTTAATGCTATGCAAAAATTCACACCTTGTTTTATCGTGATTTGAAAGTGAGAAAGAGTAAAAGTGGAGTGAAGGGACAGGAGGTGGGAGGGGCGTGTAAGTTTGGTCAAAGGTATGAAGAAGGTCAATACTGTTGCCACTTGTTTTTTTAAATAATACTGTTTGAAAATATACAAAATGTAGCAAAATCAAATGTAAATAGTGACAAAGAAAGCCAGAGAAAAAAATGTCGAACTTGTAGCAAAATGTTTTCTTCTGTAAAGGATTATACATTAGACACATTGTGACAACAATAAAAAGTGTTTTTTAACAAATGTCTGAATTTCCATGTGTTGTTACAGCATTTTCCAGATCACTTTCTGGTGATCAACAGCTAAAGACCAGTCAGCCACTGTGTAGCCTCTCACATATGACAGAACCGCTCCTGTCACATGTGAGAGGCTACACAGTGGCTGGGGTTTTAATGTTTTTTTTGTGTCTGTGCATTTTTGGAAACAGAAGACGAGCACAGTACAGTCTGCAAGCAAACAGCACAGTCTTTACTTCCCATGGCAGCAACTGGTTTTTCCATTCACCCATTCGCACTCTCAAGCGCTCACACATTGACTGGAAAAGCCGGGAATCCTTCTCATCCGCCCCATGACACCAGTAATTACAGGTACCTTTGTCTGTGTTCTAAGTAAGGCTGCCCTTTAGTGGTGGTACACAGCATTACACCAATCTTAGTCTTAGTCATGATCTTCAATCTCAGGCCTTCCTAGACTGTCAGAAAATCAAAGTTTCTTTCATTACAACATCCAAAAGCAGCACAGACCTCTGGTGTTTTCTACTCTGTGAAGATGACCAATATGTGTTTATCTAGTAGCTGGATAGGTTGGTGGTTAACTACTGACTTTGGTCTGGCAGCTCGGGGTTCGATACTCTGTCAAGGCATGAGAGATCGTGAGTGTGATTTAGAATCTTGTGCAATACCAGAAGCCAGTAAAAGTTCCAAAGAGGTTTCTGTGTAGCAGGTGGATGGCTCAGTGGTTAACAATGCTGACTGTGGTATGACAGGTTGGGGTTCAGTTCCCTGTCAGGATGTGGCCAGCTTAGGGTCCTTTGGGAAGTGTTGAAAAGACCAAGCTGGCAACAGGTTTCTTTCACTACTAACGTTAATAAAAAAAAACAAAAAAAAAAACAGTTGACTTCAATGTCCCCCAGCTGTAGCTTTTATGATGTCCTCACTAAGCAGATAGCATTAAGGGCCTTGCTGACAGACTCATGGCTGGCCACGCTCTGACAGGGAATTGAACCCCAACCTACTGTATCACAGTCAGTAGTGTTAACCACCGATCTATCCAGCAGCTGGATAGACACACATCTACATCTTTTACTGGCTTCTGGTATTGGTTAACGCAACTTAGCAAGGAAAAGGGGGTGCTTGGTTTGATGCAAGGCACAACTCAATTTAGGAGTAGAGGTTTAGTGTGAATCACACCTGAATCTGATTGGACAATGACAGTCCAATCACAAAGCAGAGTGAAATTGTCCAGTCAGGTCGTAGCTGGGTTCTTCAAATTAGTTTCCGGTGGCTGATCTGTAAGTTTGGTTTGCAGTGGAGATTCAAGATGGACGAGCTGTTCTACTCAGGTGGGTCGCCTTAGAAAATCACAGGAAACATTTTATTGTATTGCGTTCTGTATGTAGGCAGCGCGCAGGTGCTTCGATGTTAACACAGTTGTCCAAATGTATGTTTTCTATTCCAGGTGGGATATTTTATCTAGCGTTAGCCGAATGCTAATGTAGGATGTTAGCAAACGTAGCTGGCAAGAAAAATTTCAGGGGCAACGTTAGCCGTCCCGTACTCTGGTTTTACATGCTCCATTAATGTAAAGGTCTTTTATCTTTGATATTAATCGTGCAGCTCAGTAAAAAACGCAGGCCGGTTTGGACCTCACCAAGTCTTCATCAGCACGGAAACCTAACAAATTGTTTGCACCTGTATGTTTCCGCCCTGATGAAGGCCAGGTGAGGTCTGAACCGGTCGGCGTCTTTTTACCGAGATGTCCTGTTACAGGTAAGAGTGCTACATTCAACATGTTGCTTAAATAATAGTGCAAAGGCATTAGCAGCGAAATATACCTAAATGACCAAAAGTAAAAGTAGTCACTGTGCAGAATCATAATGGAATACATTTCACATTGATGTATATTTGATTAGAATTTCTGGTTCATTATTGTTCATCATTTTAATGTTGTAGCTGGTAAAGGTAGGGATAAATTTAACTTAGTTTGAATTTATAGTGAGTAGCTTGTAAATTTGTCACCAGAGATGACTGAAGTCTTATGATTAGGCTTCTGCTGTATTTCCTTTTTATTAATCTAATTCTGAAAAGAAACTATAAACTCAAATATCTAATAAATCTAGTGGAGTAAAAAGGTATGGTAAGATGTGAAGAAGCAGAAACTAGAAATAAGTACAGATGCCTCAATTACACTTATGTACAGTGCTTTTTCCAGTTCGATGCTGTTACTTCATTAATGTGACTAGTAAGTATAGGCTGGGAACATTAAGGAAAGATCAGGGGAGTATGGGAGGAGAGGCTTAGATGTGCAAGAAATGTGAATCGATTAGAGAAAACAGTTGTCATTCAAACTCCTGTTTAGCCTCAAAGTGCATCATATAGTGAGAAACCTGAATAAAGAATGCAATAGCCCTTTAATGAATCTTATTTGTGAAAGATGTGCATTTAGTAAGAGCTGTTGACTTTTCCTGCATGTTTGATTTTTATGAAATGTGTTAGTTTGTACAGGTTTCTGTCTTTCTGTGATCAGAGTCATTGTTATAACTAGGACATAGGACTAACTCCCCCCATGTATCTTTCAATAGGCCACAGAACCAAGGAGAAGAATATGGGACTTGCAGAGCTTAAATAGCCTCGGGCATGTTGTGAGGAAGACCGACAGCGTTCCAGGCCCCTGTCACTCCTACATATGGACATCAACTGCAAGTTGATCAGGTGAGAAACATTCTAAAAATGTGGTGGTTCAAGTGAGAGTGCTATACTAGCACTGATAGGTTCAGGTCAGCCTGAACCTATCAGTTGTTCCTGACTAATTTAAAAAGTGTTCGAGTAACTTTGATATGAATTGTAATGGAAATTCTCAAAACTAACATGGAGCACAGTGTAATTGTATATAACATTTCATTCTTTGTTCCCATCTTTTCCACTAAAACTTCCTAGTTTAATATAAGGTGTTTTAAGACTTTAAAGCTGTGCATATTAGCGTTTGTACACAGGGTCAGAATGAACTGTAGTGTAACAGTTTCAGTCACTGTAGGATAATGAAACTTTCTTGTTGTGCTTTTGTCTTAACTGTCACAGGTTCCTTGATGCTGCAAAGAAACCTGACTGTACATCCTGTTATGCAGTCATTTTTAACCATACACCAATCACATACCATGTTCATTGAGGTCCTAGATGAACTGGACTACTATGTGAGCTTCTTAAATATGTTATGCCTGATTGGTCTATTATTGAATTTTATAGTAGCAACTTTTCAGTCATTTAAAGCTTCAAATGTACATATTCTTCTGTAAAGAACTATTTTCCACAGCTCTGGCGGAAGAAGACTTCCCGAATGAGATGATTTGTATTTAATAAGAATGTTAAGTGTTTGGGGCCTGTAAAATTAAACACACTTTCTCCCACACAGAACCCTCTTTTTTCATGGTGCTAATGTTACTGTGAAGAACCAAGACCTGAAGCAGTTTAAGTTGTAATAGCTTTATTGAAGAAAACAACAACAAAAAAAAAAAAGCCCTGACAAGAATGAATGTTGAACACAGGGCCATTACAACAATCTCCCACATGGAGCACCCTCATTTTGTTTTTCTGGTGAAGGTTTGGAATAAGATGGGAAATCCCTGCTGGTGGGGTCAAGGTAGAGAACCACAGATGTGAGGACTCTTCCAGTCACACTACGAGAGGTCTTCACAGCTGTGGTTCTCTACGTTGATGACTCCACCAGTAGGAATTTCCCATCTTACCCAAAACTTCAGAAGCTGGATGAGCTGGGATGGAGAGCCTGCAAAAGGAAGAAAAAAAAAGTTGTAAAGCTTTGATTGCAATAATAAATGGTTTATTTATAAACAAACTAGCCTTTCTTTATGTATGTCCACAAGAATGCTGCTGCTGGTCCGGCCACAGAATGACATCTGGTTAAGGATTGTCTAAGGGGGAAATGGAAAAAGTTTTGGTTTAACAAGTCCCATTTTTGTTTACCCTCATTTTATGAAAACAGGCCATGCATATTTGGTCTAACAGTAACATAAGCTACTCTGCAGCTGTCAAGCACTCTTGTAAAAAGGTTCCACATTTAAGCAATACTAACTGAAGTTAAATTTCACTTTGAGAAGCTCTTCACAGCAATAAGAATTTAATGCAACATTTCACAATGGTCTGAACAATTTACTCACCACCTGAATTGTCTGGAGGTTTGTAGTGAGAGCCCACAGCATTTTGGGTCATCTGCCTCAGGTTCTGGAGTTGATTTACTCAAATCTTCAGGTGCACTGTATTCAAATACATTGTTCAGTGTATAATTGAAAAATGTTGAAATACATCCAGCTCAGGTCAGCGGGGCCAAGTTTCCAGCAGGAGAAGCTGGGGCAAAGTCTGCAAACAAAAACCCCAATGCTTGCCAGGCCAGTGGGATCATTAGTATTAGCGTTTGTTTAACTAATTAGCAAGCTGGGCAGCCAGAGGGAAGCTTGTATAGATGACATGGATGTCATATATGGCCAAGGTATGTAGGAATCTGTCATTCTGCATCAGTGGTGGGTGAATGCAGTTGGCAGAATGAGACTGAAGCGCAGAAATCAAGTGGCGATTGTAAGCCAAAGCTCAGGGAACATTAAGGCACTTCATAATAATTCATCACATGGCTACATTATGATCAACCCATTCCTCTGCCACAAATTAAGGAGTCTGCAATAGTTTAATGACTCCATATATGGCTGGTGAACAATAAAAAGCCATTTCCACAAGAAGATTGTTGTGCAGGGTTCAAAGTACAGGATGGGGACAGGGCAGCGCACTGAAGTTCAAGAACAGTGCAAACAGCACATGCCAACAAAAGGAACCACAGAACATTCAGCTGTGGTAGAGCAGAAGAAGTTGGGGAGGGCAGGCTGCGGGTCCCGCGTTAAATATGGGAAAGTTTGGGGAACAGGGTCAACAGGTCAAGAAAAGTCAACAAGAGAGCAGTCTTGATGACAGAAGGAATTTAATATCAAAAATACATAAATCTTCAAGTGAGGGCAGGCGCACAATGGGCACAAAGGAGGCGAGTGTTAGAGTCAACACAGATTTGTTGTCGGCGATTAAATGGATCGGGCCAAGTTGTTAACATTTAACACAAAACGGTGGCACTAGAATAGAGGTTGAGCAGAATGGAAGGGGGTGTCTCTGATGATGCAGGGAAGCCTTGACATGCAGGGACAGAGATCAGTGTTGGAAGAGGTGCTGCTGGCCATGTTTTGTGCACTTGCAATTCTGCATCAGTGAAGCAAAGCAATGAGATAAAAGTTATTTTAGGTACCACTTAAGTTTGATTTGTGTCATGGAAAATAAGCTATTGACCTGTTTCATATGGTTGGCTTTGAGTCAGTGATGTTTTGGGAGCACCTCTTGGGCATTTGCATGTGAATTTTATGCATTTTGCATTATATAGTGCAATGTTGAGATTAAGCCTCCCATGCTACAGGAAATAGATCCACATTTGTCCCTACATCCTCTCTGACTTCTGTGCCACAACTGTATGCAGCGCTGAGAACTCTGCCTGACCTTCGCCCTCGCCCCTGCAATGCCCGCAAGTTCCCCAGCCGTTGCAAACAACTCTGAATTCCATAATTCTTCACGAAAAGGCACTATTAGGGAAAAATCCTTCCTTTTTGACAATTTAATAGTGCAAACTAATCATCTGGTTGACATGAACCATTCATCTCCGTACAGGCAGACAAAGACAAGGCCTTTTCCATAGGTTCGTCTGGATCCTGCAGTCAGACCAGGCGCTATTTTGAGATCAAGTCCACAATAAAAGCATTGTGACTGCTTAATGGCTGTGTTTGTGACAGAAGGCTGCACATTAAAATCTAAATGCAAAAGCTCTACAACAAACAAACCAACCAACCTCATGGTCAGTAAGTCACCACTTCACCCTCCGTCCTTCTCTAAACCCTGTCACCACTTCACCCTCCGTCCTTCTCTAAACCCTGTCACCACTTCACCCTCCGTCCTTCTCTCAA